GGATAATGAATCTGTCAGAAAAGTGGGATGTTACAGTACTCTACCCTGCACCCATCACAAGGCTGGAGGTCACAACCCCAGGAATTGAGAGCAATTTCCCATCCCTGTGAAATCTATTCTCTTTCACTGGAAGAAAAGCCACTCTGACAAGGGCTCTAAATAAAGGATTTTAGCTTCTGACTGAAATGGGAGTGATGAGAATAAACCAACCTGTGGAAAATGAAAGTGAACTAATTCCAAATAATGGGTTATCAGCATTCACTCCTAGTGCTTGGCCCAAACACAGCACTGTCAAAAAGAATGAGGGAAGTGAGCTCCCAGGCAGTTCTACAGTAACAGATTTTACTGCTTAGGAAGTCAGAGTTTTAGCAGCCAAATAGGGTGGTCCACTTTGCATGAGAAGTTGAAGCTGAAAAATGTACTTTGCAGAGTCATTATGCCACACGATTGTTCTGGTTTCCCCCTCCCGTCCCTTGAGCTATATTCATTGCCTGGACCTTTCAGACTTATCTTGAGATAGACCTGGTAAATTCCCAGTTATATGCAAAATTCTCTGGAGTATAAAAATTAAATTGGGTTGACAAGATCTCACAAATTTTATAGAATGCCCTTTGCCCAATAGGAGGGTAGAAAAACATACCTATAGCATGTAGAAGTTTTCAGCATCCATCACAGAGGGCTTGATTTAATACAATACCTATTAACTCTCATTATTAGTCCATTGACCTACCAGGTATAATATAATATGCACAGGAGTCCTATCTTCAGGGAGTTTACATGTTTGCTATTCATTGGTTTGCTCATCAGATGTGTTTGGAGAACCTACTATGGGTCAAGCACCTTGACATATGCTGGGGTGTTCTAATAAATAAGGTAGACATAATGGCCACCTCCTAGCAGCTGATGAGCCAGTGAGGATGACAAGAGAATAACAAAACACAGCCTATATCGGTAGCAGAGGTGCCAGGGGCTGCATTAAGCCAAAAGTCTTTCCAGATATCTTAGAGAGTGAGAAAAGCATTCAGGTAGCTAACCATCAGATTACAAGAGAGAGAGAGAGAGAGAGGGAGGGAGGGAGAGAGAGAGTCAGGCACAGAAATGGCCAAGGTATAATATAAAAGAAGGAACTATCCAGATGAAAAACAAACAAAAAAACAGCAAAAGTGAGTGAAATGCTGGAGGCAGAAGAATTGACATATAAGATTAGCTGAGGAAGTGGCTCTGTAGCTCAGGTGGTTGAGCGCTTGCCTTGAGCTGAAGAGCTGAGGGACAGCGCCCAGGCCCCGAGTTCAAGCCCCACAAACAAAAAAATTTTTTTTTATTTTTTTTAATTTAATTTTATTTTATTTGTGAACATACTGTACAGAGGGGTTACAATTGCATGGGCAGGATAATGCGTACATTTCTTACCAAGCATTGCAGCCTCCTCCTTTGTTTACCCTTCCCATCCCTTCCCAGCCTCCCCCCTCCCCCCCATCCCAATCCCCCCTTCCCCCCCCCGCACCGACGTTGTAAAGCTCCTTCCCACAAACAAAAAATTTTAAAAAAATTAAAAAATTAAAAACAAAGATTAGCTGAAAGCAAAGTCTGAAGAAGTAACAGTAGAGCTAGGATTTATACAAGTCACCAGGAGAAGGGACAGAGGTAACATAAAGGGATTTACAAAACATATCACCACACTTGGACTCAAACAGAGAAATAGAAAATCTTGTGCAAATGGTGGTTTAGGCCAACTGTGTTGAAAAGGAATGTGATAGGAACACTAAATTTTGTTTGGAAACTCTTGCACTAATAAGGCAATAATCATCGCTCAAACTGTATGAATTTCAGAGATAACCAAGGAATGGAGCTCTGAACACTTCATGAGCAATAGAGGAGTGATAGGGTAAAAAGGGAGAGGAAAGAGTCATTTGTGGCAAACTAAGTAGAAGGTGACACAATTTACTGAAAACTCCCTGAGCCAGAAAGCACAAAAGTAGAAGCTGGTAGGGGAAAAATAAACAAGTTCCATTTTGGGAATATGGAACTGGATTTTACAGGAGGCATTTTGATAGATAAATCAGAAGTCCAAGAAAGAGATCTGTAATAGAGATACAGGCACAGGCCCTAGGAATACATTCATCAGATATTTTTTACCTAGTAATAATGGAAAGAGCAGATTTTATGGATTTTTATAAGTAACCGAACCTCTGGATCTCTTTACATATTTGAATTTCTTTTACAGTAGAAGACCATGTAAAGTGGAAAACAAGAAGACAGTCACAGACAGAATTTAAAATTTTAAAGCACAAAGACCCATAAGTGTCAATGAACAAAACCAGACACACAGAAGTAATTAAATAAACAAGAAAAGCAAAGCTCGGGCTCTAGGTAGATTTTAAGGAAGGGTTGTCATGATTGAATTTAGACTTAAATGAACAGGTGAAAAAGGAATCATTCATTGGAAGTTATCTGAGAAAAGCAATACTAAATAATTCCACTGTTCTCTTTTCCCCTCCTTTTGTTATTCAGAGAGTCATTTTCTCAGATAATACAATTGCTTCAGGATGGAAATTGCTTGTAACTCCAAGGGTGACTACAACTATGAAAGTGTTAACAGTTACAAGATTTATAATCCATTTCACAATTAATTGCTTGCATCCGTGGTCTTCACACCAGAAACCAGAATATTCTTCGGGGTCATATTGTTCATTTCCTCATTTGGAAGTTTCAACACCAGAGAGGGTGCTAAATCAATAGAAACTGCTGCTTCTATCACTTAGCCTTCAAACATCCTCCATACATATATAAAAACACCCATAAATAAAGGTGCTAATGCTTGGAAGAAGGAAGCTCTTTTAATAAACCAACTAGCACAAGTAACTATCTGTTTAAAAGACCTGCCTCATAATTAAACACTGTTTATTTAACTGCATTATTTTTTTCTTCTCATGCCTTTTAAAAGATTGTGAAATGTTAATTTACCATGGTGCTATTTATGTGTCTAAGTTAAATAGGTATTGTTTTAATGGTAGCTCTCTAGCTTATTATAATTCACAAATACACAGAAGGCAGAGTGTAACTAGAAGTATTAAAAGTGTAGTGGACCCATAAGGAGCTGAGCTACGCCACCTCCTCATTAAAGTGAGTCTCAGCTATAGTCTCAGTCATTCAGTTTTCTCCTTGTCAGCATTCCAGTTTGTATAAGAAGAACTTGGTCATTGCTATACTGCCATGGAGTATCAGCAATTAAACTTATTTCATTTTCCTACTTGAGAAAGTGTTCTGTTACTTTTCCCAACTCATGACCTCCAACCCTAAAGAAAAAACAAAAATGTAAAAACAGCACAAATATTTCTTTGTTTATTTATGAAACTTGGGTTTCTATATTTTGCCCTAGTCATTGGAAGAAAGTAAACTCATCCCCTCCTGCTCCAACACACAAATACACACACACACACACACACACACACACATATACACACACATGCAATTTCAGGTTTCAACTCTAACATATTTTTGCCCTGTCTACCCTGGCCTGGGTGCATAGATTTCCCTTGCATGGGCATTATGTCTTCCCACTTGTGGTACTCTGACCTCTGGCTCTGGTCATTCCGTCATCTTAGGTTTTACCTTTCCAGAGGAGTGGGATAAACTTGGTATGATGTAATTTATAACCCACTGCCTCAACAAATATCAAGTTGGCTTTTGCAATTTTGCCAGCAAAGACTTGGAATACAGGAATGCATTTTGTGGAAATTGCATATTCCACTGTTGCCTCTCATAGATCACAGCTTTATTCACAGACAGCAAAGGCAAAGCCTTTGCTAATGACTTCAAGTCCCTGCCACCCACAGGATTCTTATTTGCTAGGATTCTAAGCATCTTTTATTAGAGTCATTTGGCCTTTGTGATTGCCTTCTTTGTCGGGAGTGGGAAGTCAGAAGATTACTGCCTCACCTCTGCTTGGGTCAGTTGTAAGTTTTATAAAAAACACTTTCCTGACCTGAGGAAATGTCACTGTAGAGCCCAAAAAGAGAACATCCGAGTATAACTTGCCAGGTTTATAGAATAAGACTGAACAGCAAATTGTTTTAATAGTTATCTTTCTTTGTTAAAAAAAAAAGGAAAGAAAGAAAAGAAAAAAATAAAAAGTAAAACAAAATAAGAATTGCCCTAATGATTTGAAGGAGGGTAAAAAAAAAAACAAACAGCATTGCTCTTTATAAAATGAAATCACATTATGTAGATTTGACAAGGTCACCGAAGAACACCACTCAACTGGTAATAGTGTTTAGGTTGCCTGTAGGCGCACAACTGTCTAAAAAGGGCTTCAGGCTTCCCATGAGCTGACTGGTATCAAGCTCCCTCAAAGTGTATTCTGGAAGCTAGACTTGGCTTCAATATGGCAGGGAGAAAGTCCTCAGCATTCAGGCCGCAGCACATACGTGCATTTGGGGGTAGGGGGCTGTGGCAGGGCGTGTATTCCCCTAGCCTCTATCCAATCAGGAGTTTTTCCCCATGCTCAAGCACAGAGGTGAGAAAACCAATCAGGACAACTTCAGTGCTGGTACTCCAAACCAGGGAAACCATTAACAAGACTTCCTGCAGTGTATACCCAAGCCTCCAACCATTTGGACCAGGGCATGCCCTTCGAGGAAAGAGAACAGAAGACCCTATAACTAGCAGCCTATGGATACCCAGTTCTGGGACCCCCTTCTTGCACAAGGAATTCATTTCCCTGATCTTATGCTTTCAGGTAAACCTGCTCTGTCTACCTTAAACACTTCGTTGCCCTGGATTTGTTAGTAGGGAAAGAAAAGGACCATAGTAATCTCTTGTTCTCAAAAGATACTTCTTGAAAAAGATCCTCAGGGCTGAGTCTGGAAATCAACATTTTACTAAATCCCTCTGTGTGATAATTACCAAAGCATGACTCTATTTAAGAACTACAACCCCCTGAGCTAGACCATTAAGATCAACGTAAGTGACAGTGATCTCTTTGTCTTTCCTCTGCTTAGGTGCAAGTGTAATCTCCATGCCACTGTGTGTGTATATGACAACAGCAAACTGACATGTGAATGTGAGCACAACACTACAGGTCCAGACTGTGGGAAATGCAAGAAGAATTATCAGGGCCGGCCTTGGAGTCCAGGCTCCTATCTCCCAATCCCCAAAGGCACTGCAAATACCTGTGAGTAACTGCTGCTTTCCACTGTATTCTATGCATGACGATCTGGCCATTCCTTACTCTCACGATCAATTGTGATTGTACTACTCCTTCCAGTGGTTCCATTCTGTAGGAGGCAGCTGAAGTTTTAGTCCCACTCGCAAGCATGTTTTAGCACTTTGCTCACCTGTTAAATTCTAGCCTCCCTATTAAATGTAGTGGGAAATGATTTGCAAAAAAATCACAGAAAATCACAGAAGTAGTGCTTTTTTTTCCTGAGTGGAGGAAACAGGGCCTGATTATTTTCCCCCCTAAATTAACTTCTAATGAAAATAATACAGGCCTTGAGATCTCAACATCCTAACTAGCCGTAAACAACTTCCACCAACTCTTTATGTGTTTACAATCCCACATCAGCAACCCAAGAGAAAGAGTTTTGAGAAGAGAGTTACACACATACACACACACACACACACACACACACACACACTCAATTTTAGCATGAATTCAGTTAAATCACCCAGTAACATGATTGGCTTTTCCTAATCTTCCCAAGTCTTGTCCTGTCCAACATGGAAGCTTTAAGTGGAGCTTCCTCTAGATACAGAACATGCCTGCTAGCCTCTGGGTGTCACCCTAAGAAGAGTTCTTTTGTGGGTGTGCATCTGTAAAACCAGCTTTATCCCTGTTTATAGAATGCATGCGAGATCCCCCGTTACCAGTCAGCCACTGAAAACCCTGAATATCCAAAACAGAGATCAGACTTTGGCATGCTCAATAAGAAAAGTGATTATTTCCTAAATACATTTTTATGCAGTTCCATGGATAAAATGATCAGCTACCTGCCAAAGCCCAAGTTTAACCCTCTTTACAAAGCAGAGGAAAAAAAAGAGCAATGAGAAAAGAGCAGTGAGAAAGAAGAATGTCAAGGCATAGAGCACAATTGAATGAGAACTTGAAAAGCCACTGGCTCCATACAAGGCTAAGCGTGTTATCAGGCCCTTCAAAGCAGCAGCTGTGAGATGCCAAACCCAAAAACTAATATCACAGGAACCAGAGCCTTATCAAGTTAAGTGTTAAGAGTAATGGAGCAAGTAACAAGCCATGAAGTATGGGAGCATGAAGTTATGATAAAATTTCTGTGAAGGAGAATAAAAGACCTTCAACATGTTTTTTTTTTTAAAATCCCTAGTTGTAAGGGCATTTGGTTTGTGTGTATGTGTGTCTTAAAGATAAAACTGACTTCTTGCTCCTCAAATTGATACATTAAAGCTTTGTTGAACAGAAATGTTTATTTTTTTTCTCAAGGTTATCTTGTTAATGGAGAGTCCCCTGGGCTTACTTCAATGGCTGAAAGCAAAATGTGTAAACTTTGGTAAAAGATCACACCAAGTTATGTATTGCTATACCTGGTGGCTGACTACTAAAGAACCTTCCCCTTATACCTACCATTCCACCACCAACAACACCACCAACACTGTTATCAAATCTAGTCTAACATGTCCCCCCAATGAAAATGGCTCAGACTTCATCCTCAGGATGTGCTGCTGCTTTACTGGGATGGAGATGAAAGAGAACAAAGTGCGCAAACACTTGCTCACATTCTGACATCTCCTCAGGGCAGACCTACTCCACAAAGCCACCCCAGAGGCATCTGTGACAGGCTGTGACTGAAGGCATTGACTTCTATTCTAACATGACCCTGGTTCTATTCAAACCAGTGCTTCAAAGAGATTGTTTATTTCAAGACATTTTTCACTGGAAAGACTTTGTCTTAGCCAAGCTTTCTCACTGAGATGGATTTCTTGTGATGTTCTCTGTGGAAATGACTTACACCCTTAAAGCTTTGTGTTATAAAGATCACCCAGTCAATCTCTGGCTAGAGGAATGTAACCTACTTTGATTTTTCTCCTAGGTCCAAGTATTCATCTATCCTTTCATTTTTACTGGCTGTCTCTGGACTTCTGTACTTTTCCACATTCCTGTTAAAATAGGAAAGTGACAGAAAGACCCAGTGGGGGGATCAAGTCAATGTTTCAATCACCAATATAAGCAGAAATGTGATGTACAATTTTAGAAAGTATTTGAGCTACAAATGTCTTGAAGTCAACAAAATCTCTGACAGGCCAGACTATACTTTAAAATCACCCAGGAGTGGCAGTAAGCATTTCACTAGGTTAGTAAACAGGTTACAGGATCAAATCCCTATTCTTCCATTTACTAACTGTGTGACCTTGAAAAAGTAAGCAACACCCTGTTTCCCATCCTTAGTGTGAAGATAATAACAGTTCCTACCTCACTGGGATTTTGAGAGGATTGAATAAGCTAACACATGCACCATGTTTTGCATAACACCTGTCACTTAGTATTCAAAAATAATTTTCTAAATTTTTTTTCATAAAACAATCTGGTCCTTTGTTGGACCATTTTGTTACAACATTTATTTCTTGATAATTGATTACTAAGACCCTCAGTGTTGAGTATCTCCTAATTTGTGACCATTTTATATACATCGACTCTGGTTTTGTTAACTACCAGCCATCACTAGCTCCATTTCTCATGTGACAGTATTTTCATTCCTCTTGACCTAGATACATGGCCTAGAATTCCTCTAATTCATTCGGGTGGTACGTCAAGGCAAGGAGAATACATAGGACTTCCTGCACTTCTATGATTCTCTTTCCTATTGGCTTCTTTTACACACATGTGCACATGTGTACACACATCCACATATCCCCACATTACTCTAGTTGATGGATTATGAGTTACATATCTAAGAGGGAGTCTTACAATATGCCATGTCCTCATGTGAAATTTCAGACCCAAGAAGGGACAAAGGAAGTACTTTGACCTCTGGACTTTCAACATCCTCAACATCTACCTCAGTGACCCACAACTGCCACTCATATTGGATACACTTTAGAGTTCATAGGATCTCAAGCAGCCTGGATAAGGTTTGGAGAGGAAGGTTTATTACTGCCCATCTCAACAGGTTTTCAGCAGAGAAGTTGGAGAATTAACTGTGAAGATCTCCTTCTAAGGACACTCAACCCACCACAATGGGTTAACCCCGACTGAGACTTGGGAATTATTAGGCTTTGGATTTCCTACATAGGCTTCATAAGGCAGAAGAATACTTGCCACCCAATCTACATAACACACCACATTTCCTTGTACTACAAATTTGGCCCAGTTATTCTTAAGTATAACTTTCAAAGTGATGGTTTTATTCATGGGGATATTATTCAAAACTCAGTGTGTTTTCTTAGTCTTTTAAAGACATATACTTTATATCCAATTATTCTTTTTCCTCAAAGCGTATATTCTATAGGAAAATCACCTTGTATTCCTATTGGTTTCACTCTATTTGTGGTCGAATTCTGTCTTGAAGATCTTCTGAATTTTGCTTTTGCCTTCCAAGAAGGCAGCAATTCTGTCAAACTTCATGCTTAATCATGATTTTCTTACTCCCTTTGTCCAGTTCATGAATAAAATTATTAATATGTTTTCATCTTTTATGCTTGTGGAATATCCTATGACATTATGTGACGTACAGCTAAATAATCTCCATGTGGATGCCCTAACTTAGGCAAAGATAATATAATATCTACATCTCTGCTTCTCAAATGGTGTTCTTCAACCTCTTAAAAAATAATCTACGGTAAAAATGGGTTTAGAAAATTCTGTGCACTATACTCTTTGTCACATTGCCTCATTAAAAAAATTTTGAAAAGTAAGGTAACCTATTTTACTGAGCATTTCCAAAAGTTACTTATTTCATGGAACATTTAATAACTTTCTACAAAACACTCTTTTGGGAACACGCTGGTCTAAACAATTTCTTGCAGCTTAGTCTTAGGAATGTCATGAAGACGGACAAAAAGCACAGCGAGTTCAGCTGTATCCAATCTTTTCTTTTTCTCTTATGTACGCAGTCTAATATTCTTCAAAGAAGGAAAATTAAATTGATCTGACATTGACATTATTTGTTTGCTCAGAAATCCAACTTGAGTTGTTACACAATATCTTGTGCTCCTCTGAGTGATGGGAAGTAATTTGATGATTGTTCTATTATTTTCTCTGGTATTAAATTTGCATTGACCAGTTTCTGTTTTCCAAGATATACCCATGAGTGTGGCATTAACCAGACAAGCTCCTACATGTTTTGTGTATATTAGTCTATTTTAAATTTGTAACATTCTTCTTTTATTTGATAGGTATGGAATCTTATGATTGCATGGGGGGAAGATTCTTTAAGATTTCTGCACCTAGTAAAGATGAGTGGGAGGATTTAAATCCAGGTGTGTCTTGCCTTCAGAGACTACACATTACACTGCATTGCATCTCAGGTTAAATTTGAGTGACTTACTCTCTTTTCCCCATGGGGCCCAGCCTTCATTTTGACACCTGTTTAAATAACTCAGTCTTCTGCAAAGCTACTAAATGTCTAGATCTCTATTATTTCTCCATCTTCCAAACCTCCCCTGCTTTTGTCTGTTTAAATCTCATATTACCCACCCCTGCCTATTCCTTTGCTGCCAATCTATCATGTAGTTTAAGTTCTTAAAATCATTGGTTTAGTAGTAAACAGCCAATCCCAGCTTCAATCTTTACAGTGAATCCAGACTAATTTTGCAACCTGTCTATAAAGATCACAAAGTCAGCATGCTAGGTAGGAAGTTCATTCCTTCCTTCCTTTCCCCCAAGTCCCTTTTTCTTTATTTATTGAAATTCTATTCATTTTTTCGAATTCTCTTCAATGCCAACTCTTCAATGAAGCCTACCTAAGCCCACCCATGCAAACTAATTCTACTTCTTCTCCCTCTGTCTGTCTGTCTGTCTGTCTCTCTCTCTCTCAACATACAAACTGCTTAATTGTTTCAACAAAAAACTTTGATCATGACACTATTAGTGGCTACTATTGGTGTTATTACATTTTATAGGGTTCTGAATTTCATAATGAGCTTTATGTGCTTTATTATCTTAATCTTCACAAAATCCCCATGGATGCATAATGTTATGGT